GAGTGATGATTTCAGTCAATCCCTGTTGGACAGGTGGCCACAACACAAAACCCATCATTTCAGTTAGCAGTGCCACTTTTATGCTGGGGCTCAGGAAAAAGACTGGATAGATGTAAAGAATGAGCCATCTCTTTCCTCCAGAGGTGAACTGCAGCACATTTCCCAGGGCAGAGAGGAGGAGACTTTGACTGCCCCTGATGTAGCTACAAAGAGGATAGCAATGACATGGAGAGCAGTCAAAGGCAGAGTGGTATAATGGGCCCCTGTCCATGTTCCAGTGTAATTCTGTCATTCCCTTCAACAACAATTTTTAAATTTCTTTATAAAGTACTGTCCAAATTTTTCCCTGTGGTAAGTGGCAGGGTAGCCAAAAACTAAACTATAGAGCATATGTGCTAAAACAGAGCCCATGTTTCCAGCCTACCATTTTGCATTCTTTGATCAGCCATGGCTAAATCCATTGCATTTTCAGGGTCACACACTGCTCTTTATCTGCATAGGTGTGCTGCAGAAGAGAGAACAAAATAAATAGTCCCTGCCATACAAACACAGAGCACAAGCCCCGCCTAGCTCTATCCACCCACCAACTCCTTGTTACCAGGGCTGGATTAAATGGTACATAGTACAGGCTGGGACTTAGCACTTCTGCTCTTGGAGTTAAATGATCAGCTTTAGCATCCCAGTTGTTGCTTTGTTTTGAATGATGTTTCTAGCTCTTATGGGTCTGAAAGTATGAACCCAATGGAAGCAATAGTCCAAGAAATGTGAACTCCTCCATTCATTCCAGAACTGTGAATTCCAAGCACAGTTAGAGATCTGATTCCCTGAGAGAGAAGAGGCTTAAGATACACCAAAATATTTCCTTCTGATTTGCTCAGGTGGCTTATGTTAATCCTTTCAGTAAGTGCTAACACCCCCTGTGCATAGTATAGGGCAACCTAAAGGCCTAACATGGGGTTATGAATTCTGCAAAGCAGCATGCCATATAGAGCCGCTGGGTTGAACCTTGCAATGTCTATGTACATATGCCAAATCTAGCTTTTAATTTCTCTGGACCTCAGTTCATTATATGTTACATCTCCTTTCTACTACTCATTGGGTGCTTTACTGCGAAGTAGTGTACTTTACTGTGCAATAAGCATATGCTTACTGGACAGTAAACCTCACTAATCCCAAATAAATTTACTATCTGAAAATGCAATTAGCAATTTTACTTGTGATTACTAACTGTACAGTAGCGCTCCTGTAGACACCTGATGGGAGCAAATCTGCTCTAGGTCAGCTGGCTACTAGGGGGCAGGGGGTTGCTCCTTGACCCTGGGATCTGCCTGCTGCTAGGGCAGGCTCCACCACTGGAGCTCAGGCAGCGACTATGTCTGCCTGCCCCAGCAGCAGGGAGCTCCAAGGCCCCCACTCCAAAATTGTGACTGGGGAGTGGGGGTTGGGAGATCCTTATCTCCCAGGGCCAGTTCTGTGACCCAGTGCCAGCCCCATTTCTGCATCGGCCCTGTGGTCATGGATCTGGTGCTGAAAACTCCCTGCTGGCAGGGGCTGGGAAGTCTGTTCCTCGCCCAGCTCTGTACTCATGCAGCTGAACAGGGAACAAGCTCTTCAGCGTGTTCTCTCTACAGCTCCATGATCATAAAGATGAGCAGGGAACAGACTTTCCATCCCCTGCCTCACAATTGTGGAACAGAGGCTGGGAACTGTCCCAATAAGGGGCAGGTCCCAGCCCCATGCCCAAATCAGGTGATCAAGGCACGGGGCTTGGACAGAACTGCAGGGGCCAGGCAGGTCCCAGCCCCCTGCCCTGATCCTCTGATGGGGAAGCTAGTAGCCCCAGCTGGGTGAGGATCCCCAGCTGGGTGAGGATTCCCCACCCAGCTGTGGGTTTGCTGCTAGCTGTCCTGCTGGCAGATACGGCAGGGGGCTGGGACCTACCACACCCTTGAACCTTTTTCAACTCCACTGCCCCAATCAGGGAGCAGGGGCTGAGCACTCCCTGCTGCTGGGGAAGGAGGACATTTGTCCCTGCTCCAGCAGCAGGTAGTCCCTTGGGGGCAGGGAGCAACGTCCCAACCCTGGACAGGAGACAGCTGTCTCCTGGCCCGGTGCTCCCTGCCAGACCCTTGGCTAGCACCAAGGGGGAGCACAGAGCTCTCCTTGGTGGCAGCAGGGGCCAGTTGCAGGGCCCCAGGAAATGACAGCAGTTTGCTGCCATTAGCAGCAAATCTGCTCCCACTTCCCCACATGTGTAGACATCTTCCCAGGAGCGTTTACTCGCATGTAGTTTAGTCACGAGTAAACTACTCCCAGATCTAATGCATGTGTAGACACACACATTGTGTATTAAAGTTGTGAACTTTTCAGGTAGAAACTACTTTTTACAGTCTGTTCATAGTGCCCAGCACAAGGCACTTTCATTTGTGGATGTGGCCCAAAGTGCTACTGTTATACAAAAAGCAACAATTAACGAATCAGTCACTGGGAAAAGAGCAGCCCCAATGTCTGTTACACAAAGGAAGATCCTCTAATGTAGGAGCACTTATAAATTTAGCAGTTAAATTCATGCTGAAGAAATGTCCCTGGCCATACCCTGCCCTGTCACCCCAGTTTTGGCTGAATTCAATCTCAGGGAGTTTCCAGGAATATCTGACTCTGTGTTTATGCTATAGATCAGTGGTTTTCAAGTTTTTTAGACTCAAGGCACCTGTTGTTAGATTTAAGGCACCCCTTTAAAAATGCAGTTCTTACCTTTCACTCATTTTTTGACTATGGAAAAATTATGGAGTGATTCTGTAGTACACAGCTCAGACCACAAGAGGTTAGAAGGTTTTCAACACTATGGATTCCTATTTGAGATCTCTGGTTTATCTTGTGAATCATGGGGACGTCTACATGTGATGCTACATCGCTGTAGTGATATGCTACAGTGATGTAGTGTCCATGGGTGTCTACACGTGACCAGCAGCTACTTCACCATAGTGGTGCACTCCCCTGCAATAATGAACCGCTACAGCAAAGTAACTGCTAAAAATAACTGTGCACTGCATGTATGGGTGATTACTATGCCATGCTTTAGTACTTCCAAATGGCATGGTAACAACTTTGCCATAGGGCAAGGTGTAAACATGCCCCATATGTAGGTATTTGCACATCTAACAGTGCTAATAATGGCAAGCATCCTGTGATACCCTTATAAAGGTCTTGAGGCACCTCAGGGTGCAATGGCACCTTGGTTGAGTATCACTGCTGTAGGTACTCCCCTGACTGCATATGTAATATAATCATTCCTCTGCCTAGTAGTGTTTTCTCAACACTTGTACTTGTATTTCAACCAGCCTAAGCCACATTAGCTGCCCTGCTCCGTCTGTGCCTTACCTAGCAGCCCCCTTCACAGTTGTCCTGTTCTTCACATGGGGCCTTCAAAGGAATGAAACTGCTTGCATTTTCTTCTGTACCTGGCTTTAATCATGGACAACAGAGACAAGAAGTGGACTGGAAGTTAGGAACAGAAGTTCCAGCTCGTGAACACTGCACAGTGGTGCTGAGGAATGGTTGGGGTAGGGAGTAGAGGCAGGGGTGGAGTGTTGAACACATTAGGGAGGGATTGCCTAGTAGCTAGGGTTTATGCCAGTACGTGAAGTTCAACAGAGCTTCCAGGGATAGGACGGACTTCCACAGTGGGGTTCAGATGTGGGGTTTCAGTATAAATGGTCAGCAAGCATGGGCTTGAAGGTGGTCATAAGGTCAGCCCTACTGAGCAGTGCAGACAGCCTAAATGTAGTCAGCTCCCATGCTCACTCAGTATAGCATGTTTGGTGATGCATTCATTCCACTGGCTGTTGTAATTTAGGATGGTTGGAAACTTTTTTGCTCTTTTTAGCAGAAAACTGGATTTTTTGATTAAATGAAAATGTTTGTTTAATGAGTTAGGGGAATGCCAAGATGATCATACATACATTTCTATTATGCTCTCCTTTCTTCTGCACCTCAGCTTGACTCTTTTCCATACACAGGCTAGAGATCTGATTTTTCGGAAAGCATTACACAGAATTAGACCAAGCCATTTAACACAGTGTTGTTTGTAAAACCCCCCATTTTTCCCAGCCTTCTTTCAAAGACAGAGTAGCATGCAGTTTCTTTAAAAAACAAGCACTTAATGCACACAGACACTACTGCAAATTGTAAAAATCATATCAAATCATTTTCAAAATATTACAAATAAATTTTAAAGAGAATTTATTAGACAGTAAATCTGCTGAGGTTCCTCTTATTGACTCCTGCTCTCTATTGCTGTGACTTTCATTCAAAAATATGGTTGAAATATGACATCTATACCTTTCTGGTTTTTGCATGTACCTATAAACTCCTATTTTCTACTTTGATTTTCCTTCCAAGATGGTTTTTTTTAGTTTCCATAGTGTGGCTCCAAGAGGTTGTAGATGTCACCTAGACCTTTCAGACCTTGAGAAAAATGCCAGTATCTCAGTCCTTTCTAAATGCTTCATAGCACTATTAGCAAATACTCTGGGGTCTCCACCAGTAGCAGCATTGGTTAATAATTGACTGAGTTTCTCTCAGCCGCTAGTGAAACATAAGTCTATAGCTCAGTGAGTCTCAGCATTTTTAGACTAGAGGCACCTGTCAGAAAGTGCCAGGTCTTAGTTTTCACTTGTTTTTTGACTACAGAAAAATAACAGAGCAATTCTCCTGTTGCAAAGAACTCAGAAAGACAGCAACAGGTCAGAATGTTTTTTAACACTATACATTCCTTTTTAATATCTTTGGTTTTATTCTGTGAATCGTGTTTGCATAACCAACAGTGCTAACTTCATGGGACATCCTGGGGCATCCCTAAAAGGACTGCAAGACACCCAGGGTGCATTGACACCCTAGCTGAGAATCAGTGCATTAGTTTGTACTCAGAGTAGCACATGTTTGGGTATCAACATACACAGCAAGCATTCTCTGTTACTCTGTAAGGCTGCAGGATCCTCAGATCATTATCTTCTCCCCATAAGCTCAGGTAAGAGTATACAAACGTGCACTGCATTCAGCTTTTTCCTGTTCTCTCTTTAACAGAGAGAGAGAATCCTAGTGTAAAACAGTTAGCTAACAGTTCTCCTTAAGTTCAACAGGTTGTTTCCTATAGGGGTGACAGTTGCTTCCCTCTCAGGTCTGTATCGAGATCCGTCAACACAGTGGATTGAATGTTATTCAAATGAAGGGGTTCTGTAGCAAGCAAGGTTGGATTTGTGCTTGCCTGTACTGAAAGTGGTACAGGTATTCAGGTAACTAGTATGCCTCACACTAGATGCACATTGGTAAGGGAGGGTGGCAGGTAATATGATCATGGAGGGGGCAACGATATGCCCATGCCCTACCCCTGCCCCTCACTCCCCAGCCACACCCCCAACACACACTGCTTTCTAAAGATTTC